ACAGAGCCCGTGCGATGCACGGGGTGCACAATTTTAAGGTCATTTATTCATTCTTATAATTATTTAAATGAATAAAAAAATGTACGGGATATATATAGTACGTGACATGTAATAGGCCAAAATGTGAACACGGGTGATGCACGGGGTGCACAATTTTAAAGTCATTTATTAGTACAGAGCCTGTGCGATGCACGAGGTGCACAATTTTCTAGTATGTGTAATAAAAATACATACCGTATGCACGAGACAGAAGCACTAAATGAGTCGTTTCCACAGAGCTTACCCGTTAAGTAGCTCCTGAACACGGGTGCACAATTTGTAGTACGTACCATAAAATCAGAACAGATTTCCATACAATTAGATAATCAATTAGATAATAATAGTCTTTTTATTTTAGCAAAGATTTTACGTACTTTGTTTTTTTTACTTATCGGATGTTATGAGATTTTTTTTGTTAAACCGATTTTATGGAATATAATACAAATATAATTAGAGAATTGAACAAAATCAAAACAGATTTTCATACAATTAGATAATAAAAAGGAATTAGATAAGGAAGAAGGAATTAGATAAGAAAAAAAAGGAATTAGATAAAGAATTTTGAATCTGACTTTTTTTTAGATAGATAGACTGTACGTACAAATTTTGACTTCACTGATTTTATGGGATTTATTTTGACAAAATCGATGTTAATTTGGAATAAGACAAATAAATAAAGTCTTTTTATTTTAATAAAAAATTTACGTCTTTTTTTTTGACTTGTCATATGTTATGGGATTTTTTTTCTTAAACTGATTTTATGGGATATAAGACAAATAAATAAAATAATTAAATAAAATTCTGGATAGAAATAGCAATGCATTAATTACGTTGATTTTTCAATCTACTAAATTTGGTAAATAGGATACCTCATATAATAAGTATAGATACAAATAAATAACATGCCAAAATTTTAAAGAATAATTAATGTATTTTAATTTATTATCTAGCCATCAGTAATGTCATTTAATGATGTGATCATTATTTCTTAAATGATAAATAAAATATTAATTTAAAAAAATATTTGTTTTTTATATACTCAAATAAAAATTAAAAAATACTATCGACAAATATGAATTATAATATATATCAGTAAAATCATTGCAGAAGTTAATAAAATTATTTATGGAAAGAATCTTTTTTATCATATTTGAATAGGAAATGTATATATGCAAGCAATTAATGCATATAGTAATAAATTTCTAAATAAAATATGCATTAAATGTGAGTTGACTTTTTTTGCTACTATTTTTGGTAAATGTATGGCTTTTAATATAAGTATAGATATAGATTAACATAATTAAAAAAATTAATAATAATTTCTTATTTTAATTGTTGAAACTAATTGATATTTTAATATAATATTGAAAAATAATAATAATATTTTTATACAATTCGTACATTTGGGTAGTTCAACTATTTGATTAATAAAAAAGTTTGATATCGAGCCGAAATAAAGTATTTTTAACAGTAAAATAAAAATAACCGAACCGAAAATTTTAGTTATGTTGTGTTTGTTCGATATTGTACAATCTATTATTAAATAATGTGCAATCTATATATCTATATATAAAAAGATTTACCATTTTTAAAAATAGTAAGCATAATTTTTGAACAACATTAATTACTTACTATTTTTGGATTTTTTTACATAAAAACAAAAGCATAAATGAAACAGTAGAATCATGCCATTTGAATTCACATTCATCCTAAAATAAAGGAATTAAAGGAATTTTCGGAATAGGAATATCAGAAGGCGATGGAATAGGAATTTCAAATCAAATCAAATTCTCTTTCCACCATATTTTATTCTAAAAGTCAAAATAAAAATAATAATATTAATATAATAATAATAATAACAGTAATATTAATAATATTATAAATCTGCTTACTAACCATTCACAGGCCATCAATTTAACCATCCATGCAAAAAATAAAAAATATTTTTAACCTTAATAATAAGCAGATTTTTATATATTTGTAACACGGGTTTTAAAATTAGTAATAATAGTAATAATAATAACAATAATATAAATATACTTATTACAAATTCATAAAATAAAATCTCATTAGAATAAGTAAATGTCAGCTTATACAATACATGAATGAAATAGGAAAAATTAAATTGACAAAAAAGCAAGACAAATTAATAAGTAGACTTATTCGGTTTAAATTTTTAAATTTGACTACACACGTAAGACATTATTAC